GCCTGCAGGGAACCGGCCTGCAACCCAGGCATGTGCCCTGACTGGGAATTGAACCGCGATCGTGTGGTTCACAGGCCTGCGCTCAATCCACTGAGCTACACCAGCCAGGGCTGGCTTTTTTTTTTTTTTAATATAAAAAATTAAAAGCCTGTTAATTATTTAAAGGACTGACTCAGCAATACTAAATGACTCCTATTATTATTTGTATTTTATTATAATTATTACTGCTGCTGATCTATGGTAATAATTTATTTTGAAATGAAGTTCTTAGATTAATTTAAATTTGTTTCACTAGCCCTGACTGGTATGGCTTAGTTGGTGGGGTGTTGTCCTGCAAAGCAAAAGGTCATAGGTTCAATTCCCAGTCAGGACAAATGCCTGGGTTGCCTGTTCAGTCCTGGTTGGGGCACATACGGGAGCCAGTTGATCAATGATTTTTCTCTTACATCAGTGTTTCTCTCCCTTGCTTTCTTCCTCTCTTCCCCTTTCTCTAGAAATAAATTAAATCTTTACAAATAAACAAACTTGTTTTACTGAAGTTGATCACCCAAACTCCTTTGACCCTGACCTGAATGAACCATCGGTTTTCCCCAGCCTCTTGGTCTCTCTTACCAGAGAATATGCTTGTTGTCTAAGCAGCAGAGGTTTTCAGAATTCCCTGGAGAAGGAGAGAATGAGGAGCCCAGGGTCTAGAATCAGAATGTGTGGGTTCAAATCCTATTATACCACTCATTAGTGGGATAATTATAGATTAATTAATTTTTCTGGGCCTCATTTTCCTTATCTAAAGACAGGATTAATAATACTTATCTCTTTCCATGGGAGGGGGTGGGTATGAAGGTTAAATGAGTTAAAACAGGGAAGTACCTGGAAAGGCACATATAGAACTTCTGTCCAACATGAAGTTGTAGGTAGGTATGCTTTGTTTTCTTGCACAACCAAAAGAAGGACAACAGCAAATTTCAAACAAAAAACAGCCAGAACTGACAGAAAGTCTAACTGTATGGAAGTCCAACAACCAAGGAGTTAAAGAAACATTCATCCAGACTGGTAGGAGGGGTGGAGACAGGCAGCTGGGACAGAGAGGTTGCACAGCAAGGCAGGCAGGTGCAAGGCAGTGGCTGGAGGACTGGACAATTCTATATTCTCATACAGATAAGCTGGAATAAATAGCTAGGGAATGAGACAGACCATGCAACCCAGGTTTTCAGTGTAGAGAAATAAAGCCTCAAAACCTCTGGCTGAAAAATAACCTGTGAGGGGTTGAAGTGATGGGAGAAACTCCCAGCCTCACGGGAGAGTTTGTTGAAGAGACCCATGGAGTCCTAGAATGTACACAAACCCACCTACCTGGAGATCAGCACCAGAAGGGTTCAATTCACTTGTGGGTAGTGGGGGAAGTGACTGAAAGTGGGGTGAGAGCTGAGCAAGTGGAATTGTTCCCTCTGTGACCACTCTACCACATACTGCGCCACAAACTCAGCTAAGTGGGTTTGCTCTACCCTGGTGAATACCTAAGGCTCCTCGCCTTACAATGCAACAGGTGTTCCAAGACAAAGAAATATGGTCCAAATGAAAACACAGGTCAAAACTCTAGAAAAAGAGCTAAGCAATAAGGAGATAGCAACCTATCAGATGCACAGTTCAAACCACTGGTAATCAGGATGCTCATGGAAATGATTGAACATGGACACAAAATAGAGGAAGAAGTAAAGGCTATGCATAGTGAAATAAAGGAAAATATACAGGGAACCAATAGTGAAGGGAAGGAAATCAGGACTCAAATCAACAATTTGGAGCAGAAGGAAGAAAGAAACATTCAAATGGAACAGAATGAAGAAACAAGAATTCAAAAAAAATGAGGAGAGGCTGAGGAACCTCTAGGACAACTTTAAATGTTCCAACATCTGAATCATAGGGGTGCCAGAAGAAGAAGAGGAAGAACAAGAAATTAAAACCTATTTGAAAAGATAATGAAGGAAAACTTCCCCAGTCCGGGGAAGTCCAGGAAGCTCAGAGAGTCTCAAAAAACTTGGATCCAAGGAAGAACACACCAAGACACATCATAATTAAATTACCCAAGATTAAAGATAGGGAGAAGAATCTTAAAAGCAGCAAGAGAAGGAGAGAGTTACCTACAAAGACATTCCCATAAGACTATCAGCTGATTTCTCAAAAGGAACCTCATAGGCAAGAAGGGGCTGGAAAGAAGTATTCCAAGTCAGGAAAGGCAAGGACCTACATCCAAGATTGCTCTATCCAGCAAAGCTATCGTTTAGAATGGAAGGGCAGAGAAAGTGCTTCCCAAATAAGGTCAAGGGGAAGGATTTCCTTATCACCAAGCCCTTATATGAAATGTTAAATGGACTTACCTAAGAAAAAGAAGATAAAAAGTATGAACAGTAAAATTACAACAAACTTACAACTATCAACAACCGAACCTAAAAAATGAAAACAAAAATGAACTAAGCAAACATCTAAAACAGGAATAGAAACACAGAAATGGAGGGTTATCAGCCAGAAGGAGTAGAGGGGAGAATGGGGGAAAAGGTACAGGGAATAAGAAGCATAAATGGTAGATACAAAGTAGACAGGGGGAGGTTAAGATTAGTATAGGAAATAGGCCAAAGAACTTACATATGTACAACCCATGGACATTAACTAAGGGAGGAGGGGAATACAGGTGGGAGGTGGGGTGCAAGGCAGAGGGGGAAAAGGAGGAGAAAAAAATGGGATCATTGTAATAGCATAATCAATAAAATATACTAAAAAAAAAGAACAATGCATATGTCCTATAAATGTTAGTTACTAGTGTGGCTATTGCTATCTGCAGAGTTTTGTTATACACAGTGTTAATTTGTTTAAAAAAAAAAGAAAAAATAATATAGTATTACTTCCTGGTTAGATTTCTTAGACTATGTGTATCGTCAGTGTGAGATCCAGTTCAATTCAAGAAACAATTATTAGATGCCTACTGTGTATAAGTGCTGTGGTGGTGGGGCACACATTAATAAGATATATAGAGTGTGGCATAAATAATGCCCCTGTTTTATGAGCTGATAATCTATACAGAATCTTTTATTACATAATATAAGCATATAATCCTGTAACATAACAATATCACACTGAAGCACATCATATGACATTCTGGATGAAATTTTCAAATTACCGTCCATCTTATGTTAGACATTCATGTACCCTCCCAACCCTTACTCAGTGGCATTACTTCTGCCCAACCCTGAATTTCCTGCTCTCCTAGAGTTTTTAAACTGGCAGGAGAGAGGAAATATATTCAGAGGTTAAGTGTTACATCGGAAAACATTGCTATACTTTTCAAATCAGATAAAAAGTAGTTCACAAAAGACCTAGACTAATTCTGAATACTCAGAGTCAGGAAGGTTAGATGAAGAGGGTAGGCGTTTCCAGGTGAAGTGACTAAGAGTTGGGAAAGTATGCCCTAGCTGGTGTAGCTCCATGGATTGAGCTCGGGCCTGTGAACCAAACAACTGCTGTTCAATTCCCAGTCAGGGCACATGCCTGGGTTGCAGACCAGTTCCTAGCAGGGGATGCATGAGAGGCAACCGTACATTGATATTTCTCTCCCTCTCTCCTTCCCTTCCCCTCTAAAGATAAATAAAATCTTTAAAAAGAGAGAGTTGGGAAAGTACATGGTACTTGAACAAGAGTGAATTGGACAACCTTGGTGGGGTGGCTTAGAATGGAAGACACATAGCACAAGGAAGGAAAGACACAAGCCAGTGAACTTACTACAACATGGGAACATGTGCAAAAAACTTGACAAAGGAGAACCATTGAGGAGGGACAGGAGATGAAATTGGCTCAGATATTAGACGTGGGGAGGGTAGTGATACCATAAAAGAGAAAATGAGTGTGAAGTGGATTAGGTTTTCGGGAGAAAGACAGGTTCTTCTACCTTGGGCCTGCTTGATTTGAGATAGAGTCAGAAGCCTAGTTACAATTCTGCCATTCTTGGAGGCTTTCCTAAAAATCACTCCCTGGATGGAGAAGGCAGATATTAGGGTCATAGGATTCCTAATGGATGGCAGGTTCCTCTCAGATGTGACTTGCAGGGACCTTATAATTGAAGACTTATGTAAGGGGACTGTCTTTGGCCCAAGGGACCCTTCCAACCCTCCTTTTTTGAACATTTTCTACATCCATGGCCTTTGGACGTAGGCCATGGCGTCATCATTGTGCATGGTCTGTAGTGACAGTGCACTTTAAGTTTTATTGGCATTTGAAATAAAGATCATTGACTAATGAGTTGTTTCATTAAGGGGTGTTGCCAGAGAGGAAACAGGAGAAACACCTGTCAGCCTTCTCTAGCCGTGCGCTGTGAATCATCTAGTTTGTTTTTTTCACTTTTACAGAGAAAGGCTCTAAATGAAGAGGAAAAAAAGATTGTGTTAATGGTAAAATATTTTCTGGTCTAGAGAAATGCATTCCTTGGTAAAAATAGGTATGATTTTTAGATACAGATGAAAAGATTTTACCAATACTTCCTGATCTGTGTGAATAGCTGTATCGTTCACTATACTTAGGGTGGTAAACATTTGCTACCAGGAAGAAAGTGTGAACTATCTAGGAAGCTCTTTCTGCTGGGTCGTGGTCCTAATATTTTCTTTGAGTTAAGCATTTGTGTGTGGGGGTTTTGGGGGTTTTGTTTTTTGTTGGCTTTTTTTTTGCCTTGAGAGGAGGGCAGTGTTGTAGGAGGTTTTGAGCAAGAGGCAGGAGTTTGGTACTTTGTGGATTGTTATCACCCTGCAAGACCCTTCGCAACTTCCTCTTGCCGCCCACAGCAGAATACGGAAACCCTGCTGCATCAGGCCACTTCTGCAATTACAGTCACAATTCAAGGGGATCCTTCTTTTACACTACACCCTTCTGTTTTGAGACTTTGTTTGCATTTGAAAATGAGTCTTTCTTGGTGGAATGCCCAACTAAGCCTTCATCTTTCCTGTCTCTTTGCTGCCCTACAGTGCTGCAGTTGAAGCTCCAGCAGCGGCGGACGCGAGAAGAACTGGTGAGCCAAGGGATCATGCCGCGTAAGTACCACTGTCTTTCAGCATTTGATTGAGCTGCTTAGGACAAAGTTGTGTGTACCCAGTATGCCCCGGGAGGCATCCAACAGAATACAAGGGTGACAGGTTTCATCTTTCACTCTGCTTGCTTTTGTTTTTCCAAGTTCAGGGGCTCTCAATCACTAATAGTGAAGATAACTGCCCTAATTGATTGAGTTCAGTGAAACAAACAGCATTACATTTAATGTGCCATCATTAGCTTTTGAATTTGAATTGCACCTTTAAAGGTTTCTCCACCCTGTTACACTTCCCTTTATAAGAGGAGTAGATCTTGACCTGGAGTATTGTGAGGAAGAACCCACTTCATGCCTATGATTTGCCATAGTGTTGAGGTTCTTTTAGAGGGAGAAAACCTTTTTCTACCTGGTATTTTGAGTCTATTGCAGTTTTACTTAGAGTGAGATCCTCAGGTACCCTACGCTGGCATGACTATGAATGTGTCTGTAATGGAGACTCAGATGGGTTTGTTGCAGAGCTGGGCACAGTGGGTAAGAAGCACATCACTCAGGGAGAAATTAAACCAACCTTGGAATCTGCTAGAGGAATAGGAAATTTGCTTCTAATACCAACAGCATTACAAACTGAGTGGAAGCAGGAGTCAGCAAGATTTTGCTCTTTTTGACATTTTTTTAAGTCATCAACAGTGAGCTTAGGCTCTCCTTCTTTTATTGCTACTCTGCTACTTGAATATACCCTAATAAAGTTTTAAAAAATGTCATACAACAGCTCCTAGCTTCATAGGGAGGAAGCTGATGTTTTTTACATTAACACTGTGCCTGCTGACCTACTACCACTGTGTTTTCCTAATTCTCATTCATTCATTCAAAATATTTAAGTACCTAGTATATGCCTGCTGATACAGCAAGATAAATCTAGCTCCTGCTCTCAGGAGTTTTATATTTAGCAGAATACTGATAATAAACAAGGAGACAGATAAATAAACAGGGTAATTTCAGAGTATGGTAAGTGCTATGAAGTAAATCAACTGGTTGGTATGCTAATAAGTAACCAGAATGAGATGGGGTAACTTTGGAGAAGACGGTCAAGAAAGGCCTCCCTGAATAGGAAATACTTGAGCGGTGATCTGAAGGATGAGATGGCGTTAGCCAATCAGAAAATAGAAAGAGGGCCCAGGGAGAAGGAAAAGCAAGTATAAGGCCCTAGTACAGGAAAGAGCCTGGCATGTTGAAAACCTCAAGGAAGCCATTGTGGCTGGGGCCTGGTAAGTGAGAGGAGAGCAGGGCCAGTTAAGATTTGTAAGGTGGGTGGGGCCAGATGAGGGCCTTACCAATCACACAGAGGAGGTGGATTTTATTTTAAGTACAATGGGAAGCCACTGAAGGCTTTTAAGCAAGTAAAGATGTGATTTGATTTTTGTCACTGTGATGGCAGGTCCATTTCTGAGAGCTAGAATCGGATGGCAAGTATAAGGAGCCTAAGCTCTGTTTCTATTCCTAAGGATTGGTCTCAAATTCATCTTTTTGTTCTCTACAATTAACAAAGTCATTCACAGACATTATGCTTCTTTTCTAGCCCTCCAGGGAAGTATTCCCCATCCCCAACCCTTAAAGCGTAAAATAGAACAGATGGCTTGTATGCGCATTGGGTCAGTGATGTGATGAGGTAGGGCAGTGTTGTGCTTTACAAAACACTCCAGATGTGCCCATCTACAACCTCTGTAGAACAACAAGTTACCAAGAGTCTCATCTACTTGTCCCTTTCACCAAGGACATCATATATTCAGCAGCTACTTTGTGCCCAGGATAGTCCTAGATGCTATAAAGATTAAAGAAGTATGTCATCGTGCCTGCCCTCAAGATATTTAACCATTTATTTGGGTACCTAAACTTTACTTATACACAAAATAAAGAGCAATTCAATGCTCATCAGTGGAATGTTTACTGTAATTACAGCTAGTTCTGAGAGCATACTGCTACTTCTCGGAATCCGAGTATGTTTAGGATCTAAAAACCATGCAGCAGTAATTGCACTCTCCCCAGCCCTGCGCTCCTCCTCCTGTCTTTCATTTGATATCAGGAGCTTCTGGAGATCACTGTTTAATACAATTTATTGAATGCAACCTCCTAGCTTAAGTGCTCCTAGTTAAGACAAGTCATGCTTCGATTTTTGGTGTTATCTGCTTATGTGTTTGTCTCTCCAACTAGACTGTGAGCTCCTTAAGAAAGTATCTTATTTATATTTCTAGCACTGAACGAATGAATGGAGACAACCAGTTTAAAGTGTGTGGGGTGTATGTATGACAGACAGACACAGATACCACTCTGTTGCAAACTGGTTGGATTTCTGGGCGTGCAATTTGAAATGGTGCTCCTGTTCAGTCAGGAGCCTAGGTTAAAAAATGTTCTGAATATCCAATTGCGTAATTTGAATTGTTTTCTGTATCTGGGAAGTGAGAATAATGGCCCTTCCTATTGGAATAGAAAAGACCTGCTTCTGTAAGAATACTGCATACTCCCTCATAAGCAAGGGCGGCCTTTAGCTATGAGCAATCTTGGTTTTCAGCTTTTCTAGTGAAATAAGTAAGTAGCAAACTTTTAGATTATGAGAGAATGTTGAGGCCTGGGCATAGCTTCCAGTATGAAATCCCCTGCTCATCCACATACCTGGTTATACACAGATAGGGCCCTGAGTTCACAAAGATGTGGCTCACACAGTGCCAGCCCCTCGTGCTGTGAGTGACCTGCTTCCTCACCACAGCTCTGCACCCACCACCCCAACTCCTGATGTAATCTCTGCCATCTTTCACCAAGATCTCCGTGTCTTTCAGAGAAAGTATAAGCAGTGCTGGGGGCAGATCGTAAATGACCAGCAAGTTGTTGCTGGTTATTGGAGATTTGGAGACCTGGAAAAATAGGATCTGGTTTGAAGTGCCTACTTCCATTTCCCACCTTGCTGGCCTGAAGAGTTTCTGAAAAGTACCTTCATTTTTACATTAGTTTATTGTCCAATTTAGGAAGTAGGTGGGGCCCACAAACTGGGAGAATGGAGTAGTGTAGCATGGCTGCATTCTGCTTCATCACTTGTGTGTTTATGTTTGTTACCAAATTCTTCTCATCTGAATCTTTTTTTCTAGCTCTGGGAAGAAAAATCCACCCATATCATTTCCCAGATTACTCATGCACAGTTCCCATGTAGAACTGGCTTTTACTTCTGACATCATATCTGTGGGACACTGTCTCCAGTGGCTCTCTTGCCTTCAGGGTTGGTCATGTTTCTGCATGTCCTTCAGAGATGGGCTGTGGCCTTTCCATCAAGTTCAGGGGACTAAAGGATATCTCAGTTCCTACACACTTCTCTCTGCTGCTTGATATGCTCTGTTCATGATGGCATCTAAACTATGAGGTATAGAAGTTGGTTTCTGATGTATTTTTAAACAGGATCATTTCCCAGAATCCTTCATTCTCATCATGTAAACACATGTCTCCTTTAACACCACTGAAACCCTACCAAATACAGTGTGCCAGATAGCAAAGGATTACATATTCCAGGCCTTAAGCTTTCTTTAATGATGTCTGAAGCTTCGTATGTCTTGAGAGAGAGTAGAAATGGCAGACAGGAAGCTAGTGTTTAACTCCAAAGATAAAGATCAGGAATGCTTCTGTATTCAGAGAGAAGACTCATAGAAGAGATGAGTCTTGTGTGGTACACTTTGGTCTCAAACAAAGCATCCCCCACAGCCTTTCTCTCTGACATTTAAAGGTACACAGGATCATAAGGTTAAGGTGAAAACTAAGAAAAATGTTCTGGCAGTGAAAGTTGCTGCAGAGGAATAACCTTTTAAAGGAAAGCATGGAAGTTCTGACCCAGACAAATGAGAAAAAAGTCTCCTGTACTCTTTCTGGATATGAGAGGAGAAACTTGTTTGTCTCTTCCTCCTCTACCTTTTGCCATTCTGTTGTGAATTCTTGAGAAAATTTGCACGGAGTGGTGTGTTTCTGATGCTATAGTTAACCCGCAGTTTATTATCTACCCAGTGCTCATAGTAGAAAAAGCTTGGTACCTTGGCAAGTGCATGAGGAAATTATTTTCTTTGTCTCACAGATCTCTAAGGGACCTTGTTGTGTTTCTTGAGTGAGCTTGTTTTTTCATCTTAAATGGTGCTTCTGTGCACCCAGCCAGTGTCATTGGTAGCATTTACCTTCGAATGGTTGGTAGACCCATAGAGTGTGAGGGCAGCACAGTTCAGAGGGGGCAGCCAGTCACTGTCAATCCACAGGCCTCACAGACTGCCTTGCCCTACAAGGCGCTCAAACCAGTTGCTAAGTGAAAAAGTGAACAAATTGGCCACTTGTTTAACTGGTTCATGAGTCCATAGGTGGGCCCTGTGTGTCTCACATTGAAACCGAAGAGCATGGCTTCATGTCATGAGTTCCTGTAGTTCCGTATTTTTAATAAACTTCATTACATCTTGACTCCCTAACACTTCAGTTCCACAGTTGGATCCCTTGGTCACGGTTCAGCTGTCAGTGTTAGCTCAGTGGTCTGCACAGAGACAGGGTGGCCCAGCTGCAGCACTCACAGCTAACCTAAGCTGTTACTCTTCCGGGCCCCAGTGCGAGCTGAAAGCCTCCTCCTCATCAGACTGTAACAGTCTCTACACCAAGAAAAGGATAATTCTAAACTTTGCAAAAGGTTATATAATGGCCGAAAGTGTCAGGTTTGATTACTATGATCCGTTTTCCTATGAATCTAAAATTCTTTTTAATATTTTTGTTATTTGTAACTTGGGGGAATTATTATTTATATTATTCTTTACCAAATATAAAACTGAGTTTCAAGATTTTTCTTCCTAAATATATATGGATCAAATGCATTTTGGTAAAGGTCCTTTTAAAACTAATTTCTGTTTTTTAATCCCTAACAAGTTTCAGAGTTTCTTATAATGAGAAAGCAACTGGGATGCCATGTGATATACATTCCCCAAATTACTACTAGAATTTGGA